ATAATTTGGCCTCGCTTTGCTTGTGGCAGACTCTGTCATTATTTTGGTCGCATTTTGACATTTCACATGTTGACAGACATGATTAACAAACCATATCCTACTGAGGACACAGATGGATATGGTTCTGTGACCGAAATGTTTGCTGGGTATATATATATATATACAGAGTATTTCAAAGAGGTCGGAACCTCTGGATATCTCAAAATTTATTTTACAGAAAGACGTTTTTTTGTTGTAGACAAAAGTTATAAGGGTTAAAAAATATATATATACATATATATATACATATATATATATATATATATATATATATGTATCCATACATATACATATATATACAATATTTACATATATACATACGTATATAAGGTTTTTTATTATAAGTGATACTTTAAAATATCTTTAGAACATGCATTTTAGTGAAAAATGTTTCCAATAAAAGTATGATTTAGAAGAAGACATAAGATGGTGTTATTGGTTTGACTTTGGAGAGTTGTTTGAAGGTCACATGAAGACCACTATCACTTTCTTAAATAAAATCTCACATATTTCATTGCATAATCTTGTAGCTTATCTTAAGATCTTTCCAAAACACTATAGTAAAGTCGGTTTCTAATCAATACTTCTCGAGTGATAAAGTAATAAGTAATTTTGAAAATTACAGTACCGCCGGCATTAGCATTACCCAAGGTGTATCACGTGGAAGTTGCCCGGTCGGATTTACATTTCTTTGTGCGTGCGCATGTGCGTGTGCGTGTGCATGTATGTGTGTGTGTGTGTTAGAATGTCAGTGCGTCAATATGTGTGCGCGCGCTCGTGTGTGTATGCGGCCGTGTTTGGAGCCTTCTCATCTGTTTGTAATATGAAATGTTCTTATAAGAGGTGTTCGAAAACATTACTATTTCGATTAAAGCAGAGCTTAACTCTATTTCGAGAACTTCGTATGATATCTAATAATTACGCTTCTGGGGATATCTTCACAACTGACACACGCGTGCACACTGACACACTGGCACACAACATACACACACGCACGCTCTCACGCACGCACACACACAAAGAGATGTAAATCCGACCGGACAATCTCCACGTGCACCTTGAGTAATGCCGGCAGTACTATAATTTTCAAGCCTTATCACTCGAAAAGTATTGATTAGAAAACAATTTTACTATAGTATTTTGAAAAGATTTGAAGGTAAGCTACAAGATTATGCAATAAAATATATGGAATTCCATTTAAAAAAGTAATAGTGATCTTCACATGACCTTCAATCAAGGTCCTTCTCCAAGTTCAAACCAATGACATCTTACGTCTCCCTCTAAATCATACAACTATTATTGGAACATTTTTCTCTAAAATGCATCGTTCAAAAGATAATTTAAGATGTCACTTAAAACCCAGCAAACAATTTCTGACTGCGCAGACCTTGACAACAAAAAGTGTTTGCAGAAACGCTACAGTGAAATATACATTGGTGCTGCCAAAGTTGTTAGCACACAACGAGATAAAAGACGCAATATGGTCACCAAACCATATCCTAAAGAGGACACAGATGGATATGGATTTGGTCTACAAATTTCGCTGGCGGTTGGCGACAACATCGCGACATCTCACAACCAAATTGTTTGCTAGAAAACACTTTGTATAAAATGAAACTCTGTATTGTGATTTTCTGTGATTTTCCTTATAAGTAATTTCTAACCAAAGTAACTTTTTTTTCTTCGTGTTGACGTATTCCGCTGCATAGAATAAAAATATCTTATGGCTTGTTTTAACGCGCTACAGACTATCGTTAAAAAAGAGGGGGAGAAAAAAGTCAAAATATGGAGAGAACTTGGTCCCGGCAAAGTGACAATAGAGAAAAGAAGAAAAAAAGAGAGAAAGACAGACAGAGAGAGTAAAGAGAGAGAGATTCGACTGTATATCCGACCTAGTAAAATCTCCCTTGCAAAGCCGCCAAGGCAATAGGTCAAGCTTGTCGTGCAGTACCGGCGACATATCCGGACTGACTAGGTACGGAGTGCCCGCTCCGGATCCGCGAGTCAATAGTCTTCTCTTCTCGTCGTAGCAACAGTGTTGCACTGCAGTACTTTCATTTCCATGCGTTGGTAATGATCGCACACAGTAAACGGCGCCACGTTTGTATATCTTGAGCCGCTGTGAATCATTGCTGGCGTCGCGCCATCGAAAATTCGTTTCTCGTTTTTTATCCCAAATCAGGTTGTCATAAAAAATATTGTTGGGATACTGACAAGGGCAAGCTGGTAATTCGACGATAGATCCTGAAACATTTACACACTTTTGCATTTTCGAAGTTTTCGTGTTTAGCGAAATTGTAGTGTGAAGAATATATGTTTATATACAGAATCCAAAAAGTATTTGTACACCTAGTTTTTGTATGATATCTTTATATAAACAAATGAAACATTATTGACAAAAACAGTACCCAGCAAACAATTTCTGACTGCGCAGACTTTGGCAACAGAAACTGTGTGCAGAAACGCTACAATACAGAAATATGCTTTAGTGCTGCCAAAACTGTTAGCACATAGAGACAAAAAACGCAACAACTCTGTTGGCACATACATGAGACTATTGCGGCCAAAATGATTCCATATATGTTAGTNAAATTGATAACAAATAGATGGTCGATAGCAAGCAGATCTGCTTTAGCAATACTGTGACCAAACAGTTTGCAAAACCGTATGAGCATCTGTTTATGACAAAACGTTGACCGCAATCGGGTCGATCTGTTGAACGCATTGACGACAGATTGCCACCAAACGCCAAGCAGATCTGTTCGTGTATATGTGCGGACTGTTTGCACGCAAGACTACTCGACTATCTGTTTGACATATAGACAACAAAATGGCGATTATCGGCGATCGTATCTGTCGCCTGTGTTGATAACAGATTGTTAACAAACATTGAACAGTCTTTTACAATTAGGCCTTGTTTATGCAGGCAATAACTGTTAACTTATGCCGGAACCGGTAAAGTTCAATTGTAAGATTTTAATACTTCTGTTTATACGTATTCGACAATAAAGCAATCATAAATGTAATGTATTATTCTCATATTTATTGAGTAATATGAAACAATGGGTGCTTTCCAGCTACGTACAGTCAACACTGTGTAACACAATGTGTGAAAATCCACTAGTGTGAATGAGACACACTGATATGCTCTTTCTCACGCTAATAGACAGTATGTTATACATTTTACCTTAATGTTCTCAAAAATTTGACATAGTAAGTCAATTTCGCCGCCGGATTCGTTTTCAGTGACCAAAAATTCATTAAAAAACACTTTGTTTATTTCCATACAGCACAGTTTATTGCAACTATATCGCAGCAACGTTGCAACATTGCAAATTGCAATGCAACATTACAAAGACATTGCAGAGATATAAATCCGCAAATTATTAGCACACTTGTAGCAACATAACAGTAATATTTTAGAATCATTGCAAAAACGAACTTTTGTAATGTAAACTAATAATAATTATATATCTTAGTAATGAAATATCATAATAAAATAATTTTTGATAATATTTTATTATATATCAAAGAAATTTGATAGCAATTAAGATATAAACTCGTTATTGGAATTCTAAAAATAACGGAATTCTAATAATACATGTATTTTTCAAGAGTTTTAACATATCTATACAAGATGTTTTCTGTTTTATATAACATAATAATATAATATAACATAATATAATTTAATATAATATAATTTAAAATATAATATAATTTAAAGAAATAATAAATATGTAGGATACCTTGAGAATAAGTAGATAGAAATAAGAACATTTTAGTAAGAAACAAGTGGTCTCGCGAACTGAGTACAGGGGCTGGGAATATATGGAGATCCCGAGTTCGAATTCTGCTATCATCTTAGGATTTTTTTCAAATAAAGTCTCTTTCAATGAAGTTCATCGATTGATCGGCGAGCTGAATCGGGCCTCCGAAGATTAATTCGAGTGAAATCTCGTCGAAGCTGTGACAGCGCAAACTGCGAAAAGTTTTTCTAGACGAACGTTTAGTTTGTATAGAAAAAACGAAATTTTTAATTGGAGCAATCAAACATTTGGCTAATTATATATTAACCAAATTATTTGGTTTGATTTAAATAATAATAAATTTTGGCTCAACCAAGCTTTTTTTCCAGTGTATAAGAAATAAAACTATTCTTATACGCAATATTGCTATGATGTTTCGTTGCAATCTTCCTAAAAGCGAACATTTGAACGTTGCTGCAATTTAACAATGATGCATCAATATTTCACAGTGAAATGGCAATATTGCAATATTGCGGTGAAAAATTCCTGCAATGTATATGCAATATTTGTGTGCTGTATAGGGAGTAACATTTTTTAATAATGCGTTACAAAAGATTAATAAAGAAAATACATATAAATTTGAATGCCAAAAAAGTATTTATACACTTGCGTTTTACATCGAAAATATACAATCTTCTTAAAGTTTTTCATGCAAAACAAATTTTTAATCTTGCACTCTGTATTAAATTATCTCGCGACACATCGATATGCATTCGAGCATTCATAATTTCTTCAATAAATGCTACATTTCCAACTTCATTATAAGACATACAACCCGAAACCATTATGTACATTATTATTAAATGTAGGTGTACAAATAGTTTTTGAACTTCACTGTATAATATATAATTATATATTATACAATACCCGGAAAAGCTCGCTCAAGTTTTTCTCTGTTGTCCAGCCACTTCTGACAACGATCTTCGTCGTCATTACTAATAGAATTCGATATTTTCAGCACGTCATGATTGTCCGATGTAGAATTGTTCCGTAACGCCTCGAACAATCTTGTCAGAAGAGAATCTAGACCTCCATGAAACAAATATTGATAGTCGAGGCTTTCACTATCATAGATAATTGTATCATAATTGTTTACGTGATCGCTTCTACTCGTTTGTCGTCGAGAAGACGCGTTAACATCTTCGAAATTGTTCCCATCATTAAAATCAATCTTAGGAGATTTCACATGCGTCTAAAATTGTAATAAAGTTTCACTTTCTTATTTTTGTAACATAATTATTTTAAGATTAGTCAGATCATATTCAATGTCGCAAGATTTGTTGATATCGGAAAGAGAAGAGACCAATGACCGATTTGATTATGTGCAATACACATAAAAAGCTGACGTGACATAGTTGCAACATCATCAAAGAACGCCGACATTCAGTTCATGGACAAGACGCGGAGGCGGAGAAGAAAAAGGACAACACGATCTCCGAGCGGGGAAGAACGTTTTACTTCTTGAGAACGACATGCCACAAGATCGTTTCCCATCAATGGCGTAGCCGCTCGTCAGTAGCAAGACGAATTTTCACGCGCGGGAGAGAAAATCAAAATTTGAGAAAAAGAGAGGAATTCGTCAATCTGTGAAGTGTGCAGCGTTGTGTAATTTCAGCAACAAATTTGACATTTTCCTCTTATTATTAAGATAGTCAACCGAAGCCATTTCTTTTGTCAAAGGTTGTGATAAATTGTGATATATATGGTATATATATATATATATATCTTAAAAATATCTTCTCTTTTTCCTTTCTCTCTTATCTCATGGAAGTTTCAATTTCTATGAGATAAAATACGGATATTGATCTCGAACCGAGAAGAAACATATGATAAATAAAAATTGGAGAATAAAACAGTTAATATAACGTAATGTAGTTGAATAATGTTACGCAATAACACGATACTTGATTCATTGAAGAACAATTTTAGATAAATTAGATTAAAGTATTCAATTTTGTGTTATGCTAATTTTAGATATACTTGAACACGTCATTGTTTTCTGTTTCTTCGTTGAATAAGCTAATTTATTAATATATTCTCATGTGCCGCGCGTAAATTGGATTTATAAGTTTTTCTTACAGATTTAGAAAACTAATGCATGACTTTGTGAAGTACTGTTTTTATAAAATTCAAAAAATCCATTTTTGAAATAAAAATTATTGCCTCATGTGAGCGACTTCTACTTTGAATATTATTCAAACGTGTCACAAGAATTATCTATATATAATAATTATTCTATAATAATTATATTCTATAATAATTATATAGAATGTAATTATTCTATAATAATTATATTCTATTTTTTTAAATTATATTCTATTTTCAGATAAAGCGTATTAGTTTTATTTTTCATTATCTTTTATAGGTAGATATCAGACGCGCTACGTTAATGTACTTCGTAATATTTCTGTTATCGTAGACAAACATTCGCTTCCAATACATACGTGTGTGTGTGCGCGCGTGTGTGTGTACACTAGTTACACTTACTTGATGATTTTGTATATTAGCCAAAACTGGGAGAAAAGTTGCGGCGAAACAAATCGTGCTCAACGGTCTCATATTGTCTCGATTCAGAATCCGTTCTTGAATAACAACATTCGTCTCTTCGAGATACCTACCCGATGTGTCAGATCGTTATTTACCACTCTACCACTCTCAATCGATACAGCAATACACGCGGCAAATCATTAAATACATTGCGCCTTTTTTGTAAAAACGCAACGATCTTTTTCTTTTATTTTCTTTATGTTGCGTCGGTCTCTCTAATGGTTCGTGATGCCACGAAAGAGTTGATGCCCCGCATTTGTTTATCACTCGTGTTCCACGCGTCAAGTACGAGAGCGTCGTACACCTCCTCGTAGGAAAGCGAACACTGATGATGATGATAATAACGATGTAACGCAAAAGCGAAACGCGATAGGCAAAAGAACGTAGAATGAGAATCGGGATGATCAAAGGAGGAAAAGGTAGGCGCGCGCCGTTCAAGAGCTCGTCACATTATGTGCATAGTTGTAAACCGGTGAAGTCTGTTCCACTATAATAGCCGGCGGTGAACAGACGGAAAGTGGAATGCACACACACGCGCGCGCGCACACACGCACACGCGCACGCACACACACGTATATATATGTATACATGTATATATAAATATATATATATGTGTGTGTGTGTGTGTGTGTGTGTGTGTGTCGTCCCGGATGACAGAAACATCATTGAGTTGTTACAGTATGTACAATAGCATGTATTAATGCTGTTCGATGCACTCGCTTATTTTATGTGTGTAGATACATAATTTCAGATTTTACACTATTTTTTATATTTAGTATCTCCAAAAAGTTAGGATCTATCTTGTTATTTTGTAATCCTTATTTCTTCTACTGTTTCTAACATACTGATCAGAGTTAAATTCAAGAGCTAAACAATGGCAAATTGGAATGTTCTATGCGAAATTATATAATGTTGTGAAATGTTGGGGCTGGTAACTGACAAGGCGCGGTTAGAGGGTAAACGGTCCGTCACAAGGCAGAGATCCCAAACGAGATTAATAGAGACCTGCCGTTGTCAGCTAAACGTTTCTCCGGCAAGGGATCGAGTGATCGCGGCAGATGATCAGTCTTCTTGCAGATCGCAAGCCGCGTGGACAGCAACAATTCGATTCGCAGAAGCAATTGATAGTTTTTGATCTCGCGACAATGTCCACGATTTGCACTTGACACGTATTACAATTCTCGTATTAAATTCTCTTTTCTAAAAATCTTAATTCACGGGAAATGCAATTGTGAGAAAGAGATAAATTCGCGTCATAGAACTATATTTGATGATTGTTGCTCCATTTTAGATATTGCGCATATTGTATTTGTTACATATTTTTCTAAGAATTACACAAAACGCGACGTAATCCTCTTTGTCAGAGTTTCCTTGTTTGTTTGTTTTCTACACGCCGACATAATTTTGTTATTCTATCAGCACACAACATGCGTATACAAAGCACGAGAGAATGGTGGGCCATCCTTGTCAGCTTCACAATAGTTAACGTGACTAATTTGCGATTAGGTAACATCGTAGCGTTCACTAGTGTGTGTTTCTGCTGCAGTTTTCTTGTATCTTAAAAATCAGAATAATTATGTGTGTGTACACACATATAATAAGAGAGAGAGAAACAGAGAATTTATAATAAATGAACAAAATTGCATACAGTTTTATGAAAAAGTTCTAATAATTGACGCAATTTTTCTTACTTAAAGTAAAATCTACGTTTTTGAAAATAACTTACACATTAGAATTTCAAATTCTTTAAAATTACAATTATGAACTTTCTCATTCTTCAAATTTTACGTAATTAAACAAATCGAGATTAATATAACTTAAATTCTGTTTTATCTAATTTTGAAACACATCTTATTTTAATAAGATAAAAATAGTCATATTTTTAAATTCAGTATTAATATACTTAAATTTATTTATTGAATTAAATTTCCTTTGTGTTTTCATTAAAAATTGTTTTATAATATTTGTTGCTCAGCTTTCTGCGAAAATGAGTGGGAGAACGAAAAGAAAATGCACTCAGAAGAACTGCGTCAATATACTTGCTGTGCTCGACATGAAAAAATAATCGACGTAGGAAACGGTGAGTAAAATCGTTGATTGCTTCTTTATATCTTTAATCTTATTAACATTAAATACTCAAGAAAATAAAAATAAAAAAGTGAAAAATTTTCCAAAACCGTTTGATAAAGTATACATGTGGAGTAATTAACCAGTGTGAATTTTAATTCATCTCTCAATCGATGAATTAAACAATTTGTCTTAATTATAAAAAAGTTAGGATAAACTCGCGTGATATCGATCGAAATGATATTTTATGTTAATCAATGCATGTCACGTCATAGGAAAATGGGGGGGGGGGCGAGAAAAGAGAACGGAATAGGAGGACGGAACATCTCTCCGGTTAGTTCGTCTAATTTGCTAATAACGATTAACAAGGTGATAACGACAGCTATTCAACGATGCGTTTGGTTGTAAAAGTATCCGGTCATCTAAAGTATTCTAAAATATATTCCGGTTATTCAAATAAACTATACTTTCTAGAAAAAACTTAGAAAGTAATAAGCGATGGCTGGAAGACAAGGTCAAAATATAATTTGTGAGAAAGTATCTCTAAAATGCTCCCAAATATAAATATGTATCAAACTTTTTATTGTTCATTTTGGTCTTATTAACTTTGTGCCAACAGCTTCCGCAGAATTGTGTGAGTAAGAGCCAATAAGAGAAAAGTTTTTCACTTTTTACGCGTTTCCACTATAGACATATACACCTAGACTCAGCATGCATGTCCTTGGCAGAACAGACAAAGAAAAGTAAACCTAGAGGAAGATTTCTCTCTTTATCTGCACACGTAGAATGCGCAGTTGTCTTTTGACAACAAGCATGACAACAATTGTAGACCACAGATTTGAACTCAAGAAAATATATATATATGTAAACATAGTTGTCGTGGGCAATCAAAAGCATTTATTAAATTATATTGTTTTTATAATAAGTAAACATAAAATGGCATTTATCAAAAAATATTTACACTTACATATATTGTATTGTATTTTAATACTGTATTTTATTAAAGAACATTTAATATAACATAATAACATAACTAAAGGTACTTTTTGGTAAAACTTTTTTAAACACTTTAAAAGTTGTTTTTACGTATTTTTATTCGACAATATCTTACGAATGACTAGGTAAACTTTTAAAACAAAGTTCCTAACGGTTTGGATTATACAGAGTGTCCCAGAATTGTCGTACAATCTCTCGTAGACAGGTAGAAAGAGTAAAACTGAGTCAAAAAGTTTTGAAACATTTTTTTCTATTACTTATAATAAAGGAGTAATTATTGAGTAAATCAAGCCAATCAGCGCCGATCTTTAGCCAGGCGCACGTCAGTGAGCCGCATGAAGCGCTCATACACACCAGGCACGCAGCTTACTGACGTGTGCCTGGCTAAAGGTCGGCGCTGATTGGCCTGATTTACTCAATAATTACTCTTTTATTATAAGTAATAAAAAAAAAAATGATTCAGGAGTTTGCGACTCAGTTTTACTCCTTTTATCTGCCTACGAGAGATTGTACGGCAATCCTGGGACACCCTGTAGCTAAGTAGAAGTACAGCAGCATGCTGTAAGCAGTTGTCAAAAAATACTCGCATAAGCTTTCATTGGATCCAGAAATGCAAGAAATTGTATATATGAGAGATTGATTTGTAAGGAACTTTTATTGTTGTTTGAGTAGAAATACTCAAAACAATAATGAAAGTTTTAATCAGTACATGTAGCAACTCGCGCTGAGACACATGTAGAAAAAACTAATTGCGTTTTTCTCAAAATGTGTTTTTCGCGCATGGGCGCCACTGTAAAACGTGCAATTCTTGACCGATTCGAAAAATTCAAAGCATTCGATTTACTTGTATCTTGTAATTAAATTTGTTTCTGCCTTAACCACTATCATGAAATTTCACATACTCAAATTTTTTTAATATACATTTTTGTGCGTAAAAAATCATTTTTTCGGCACCCATTTGTTTAAACATGCCATTCATTGTATAATTGTTTTTTATATTAAAAATAGATAAGGCAAGAGTCACATATATATAATTAAAAAAATTTTTTTATTTTTTAAGTTTAGATAATCTTGTCACAAGTTCTGATGGCGCTTATCAAAGACTCTGATTTAAATAGCAATATAGCATTCAAGGCGTATTAAAGGCACAAATGCATGAAAATTAAATTAAAAAATTTTTTTGTACTCTATAATTGTACTATAATAAAACCCAATAACGTTTATTATCTTATATTGTTTACTTTTCACGAAAAAAAATCATAAACATTACTTATTTTGGAATAGAAAAAGTTAACACTTTGGATATACGTTAATAAATGTAATATTTACACACTGGTCAAGTTTTATAAAGATTAACGTTCCGAACGTGAGATAATTGGTTTCAAAGATTATACTTTTCTATGTAGTGTATACACGATTCATACAAAAATCATGTACTTTTAATTCTATAATAAAAAAGAATAACACGAGAGTGACCACAAACGGATATATGGCAGAAGAGATTCTTAGGAACATTAGAAAATAAAAATCAAAATGATTGACCGTTTAGCTTTAAAGATAAAGTGATAAAAAGAACTGAAGTTTTCTTGTTATTTAGCGTGTGAGAGATAGCGACGTTGCCAGATCGTCACTCTGGACAATGTTTCATAGTATGTGTGCATTGAAACAGATACTCTCTCTGTGTATGAGGACTGTACAAAAGTTTTCGGTCGGTACATAGACGTATAATATATAGACTGCGCGTTCCCTACCTTTGCCATGTTAAGAAAATGTCTTCAACGTTGAGAGAGAGACAGCTGGTGTTGAATAGTAGCCTCATTTTTGTCTAGCAAAGTAGTGGGGGAAATGATAGACAGAGAAAGAGTTACTATTCAAAGTATGTTGTCTCTCTCAACGTTAAAGACATCTTTTCAGCCAAACGCACAGTCTATATATTATACGTCTATGAATCGGTACCGCTAGAAAGTAGGGTTTCCTAACCATAGACTTATATAATAGACGGAACATTTATATGACAAAGTTGAAGACAACATTAAAGGACAGAGATAGTGCTGGAGTAGTTGTCTCTCTCTCTTACAATAAGAGCGGTGGGGGACCAATCACCTTAAGCGCATAGACATATAAGTCTATGCTTCGGCGTAAAAGGCCATTACTTTTGACTTGTGTGCTCGAGAGGTTATAAAGATTCGAGTCTTGTATGGATATAATTTTCTTATTATTTTATTTATGTTTTTAAAGAGAAACAACAACAGTTGGTTACACTAAAGCATAAACAACTGTTGTTAATTAAAGATAGCTTAATTTAGAGAAAATTTAAGTTAAAAAATATGTTAAATTAGATTCTATAGAAGTATGAAGTAAATTACATTATAAAAAGGTCTACAAATTGTTAGTGTTAATTGTTAGCGCCTGCCAAGTTTCTCAACAAGTTTGTACACAGCGCGTCATTGAATCGCGGAATAGGCGCGGGATCAGAGGGCAAGCGGGGCGGTTGCTCGCCAACAAGTGCCGTATGAATCGTACGGCCCGCTTACCTTCCGATCCCCGCGCCTATTCCGCGATTCAGTGACGCGCTGTGTACATGCTACATGCATGCTATCATCTCTCACTATCACTCTCTCTCAACTGACTCTCGGACGTCTATCTTCGTTGCTCTCGGCTACTCCCTCCGTCTGCCGCGGCTACCAATCAATTCACTGCTAGAAAAAAAGAGAACTACTTCACGATTATTTCTGTCTCTTTTAACGAAGCTTCAGCTCCTCTTACACGAATGTTCCGTCTATTATATAAGTCTATGTTCTTAACCTATACTCAGACATAAAACTTTTGCATCGGACTGTCGCGCTACAACGTTCTTAATATAACATGAAGAACAACATAATACTAACTGAAAATATAACACAAGTAATCAACAGACATTGCACATAAATAATTACACAACAAACTCTATTATGTAAAAGTAATATATACTCATATAGTACAAGACATCTTTAGGATTATTCTAACAATATCCAAGACGGCTCAGGACATTTACAGGACATTTACAGGACATTTTAAGATATCATTATAAATGTATTTTATGAAAATTTACTGCATACATAATTACTTTTAATTATATAGAAAATTTAATCTAATTTAAAATTTTTATGTCGTATAAAAAATATGAATGTCCTCTAGATAATCACTGGATGTCTAGAGGATATCTACTTTGTCTATTACCTATATTAGATGTTGATTTTTCAAAGGACATTCTATCGTTCTCTGGACGTTTTTTGAACATGAACGATCGAGATCTGTTAAACTTTATTATATATTTATTTGACAGATTTTATATCATTTCTTAAAAATAATTTTATTGCTTTTCTGTATAAAAAAATTTTACCATACTAGTACATTACTGGCACAAAATTACTGATGATATTTGTGCCGAGGATATAGCCAGTAATATTTTTCTGTAAAAGACGTCGTTTCCATTCCGGAGAGAGTATTGTAGTTTTTCATTCACTTCTTTAAATATCGTCAAAATTTTGAATGTAGAGGTAGAGTTTACTTATGTTTCTGAAATAGAGGATAATATTTAATAATTAGGTCTAATAACTTTTCGCAGTCTGAGTGCAGGGGCTACGAGCAAGGAGATCACGAGTTCAAATCCATTCAACACCTTAGAATTTTTTCCGGGTCGATCCCTTCTCTCGAGTATATAAGTTGAAAAACGAACAGTATCAGGCCTCCAAGAAGAAATAAGGATAAAAAATATTTCTTACAAAAATGCTGAGTTATATTACTATTGCCAATATACTAGTATTTTAGTAATAAAATTGTTTTATTATTTTTCTGTAAGAGTTCTAAACAATTACCAAACTTTTTTTTGAAAAATATTAATGTAATAGATATGGTTTTTATACACAGAAAGAACGGTTCCTTTAAATTTAATAATCCTATTTGTTTGACTCATATTTGTTGCATTCAAACAACAATTTTATACCAAACAACAACTTTGTTGAATGAAAATTATAT